GTGATTGCATGAAGATGAGCAACACACGCGTTATTTTTAAGAAAGGAAATCGTAAGAATCTGAAAAATTAGCGTCCGATTTCCCTCTTAAACGTTGATTATAAGTTATGCTCAAAAATTCTCTCCCTTCGACTCTCTAAAGTTCTGGAATACATCGTTGACCCTGATCAAACTTACTCTGTGCCCGGACGCAAAATTACTTCAAGCTTACATTTGCTTAGAGATATCTTAGATTACCTTGACCGCACGAATGAAACCGGAATTTTGCTCACTTTAGATCAAGAGAAAGCCTTCGATTGCGTTAATCGCAACTTTCTGCCAAGCCTCTTACCCCGTTTTGTTTTTGGCCCGTGTTTTTGTTTTTAGATCAACACTTTATATAATGGCGCTAATATTAGTGTTATTGTGAATGAATGGCTAACCCATGCGATTCCTTTGTCCCGTGGGGTGAGACAGGGGGATTCCCTGTCTCTCCTTCTCTATGTTTTGTGCGTTGAAACTCTCGCATGCAAAATCCGAAATAATCTTGAGATCGAAGGCTTTCTCCTTCCGGGCGCAAATGGTCTCTGCTATAAAGTTGATACAAATCATTTAGGGAGCTTCTTAAATGATTAGTATCACTTAAGGGTTCCCCCAGGGATTTTGTTGGTAATTTGCCCTTTCGGGCTCCAAAGGCCTAGTTTTGGGATTTTGTTACGGTTTACAGTTGTAGTTAAAAGTGGGCCTCCCCCTTTTTTTACTTGCCGCATTGCTTCTTTGCAATTGGTTACGGTACTCATTTTAACATATTTCGTAATCTTATCCCTTAATTTTTAGCGTTTGTTTCTTGTATTTTGTCCATTGCTTTCTTTGTAACTAGGGTTTTTGTTAACTACTTATTAGCACCAGTTCATTAGTCGTTATCTGTAATTACGTAATCACTAGCACTTCGATCTTATTTAATGCTTTTTTTATTTCAAAAGTTGTAAATAACTAAAGAAGGTCTCGAACCGAAACGTTTTTTATTAACATTGTTTTTTATTTTTGACGCCAGAAGTTGTCCATCCTCGCAATTTTTAAACTTTATATATATATATATATTTATATATATATACATTAGTTGAAGAATCAAAGAGGACGCATCGATNATTTTTAAAAGAAAGTTAAACAAAAATTGTTCAAATACCTTTTCTTTCTGAGGAATAGCCGGCTTAAGAATATTTAACTCTCTATGTTTTTTTCAAGGGATTTAATAAGCCAATTTTACCCTCATTTATGCCTGTACTGGCTCTATTCGCGCGCGTCATTTTATCGGATCACGGTACATTTTTCGGTAGCTGCTAGCGAGGGTTATTAAGGTAACACTTGCCTTTAGCTTGATAGGTAGAAGATCTCGAGTGTATGAAACAATTTAATTTATAACATAGCGTACGTGCTTGCCTATTCTAAGTCCTATTGAGCCGCTATGAACAAAATCTTTATTTACGCACGCCCGTGCAAGAATAAGATGACCTGAGCTTCTTTTTCACCTTGCTGCAGAGTTGTCGTCCTGTTAAGCTGCAGTGCAGTCATCCTTCTCTTTAAAATATGGAAGAAACTAGCGAAGAACTGCCTCATTTTTCTATCAGCACTGACCTTTTAGGTCCTAATCCAACAAGCAGCAAAAGCAAAGCCGAAAAAAACTCGCAGGTTACACGCTGTGTAATGCACTTGGGAAGTTTGGAGGGCCCTAAAAAAGCTAAGCTACAGTAGCTTTCGGCTGCCCCTCGAGCTACTCTTACGCATTATTTGTTCTCTCCAAACTTCCATAACTCAATATACGTACGCAAATTAAGCATGAACAAATTCTTAAATCTGATTTATCCTTCGATGATTTTTCCTTAATTTCCTCAAATAAAATTGGATCGTTTGTACGCCAAGATTTTTCATTAAAAGAAATTATTGGTCACCGTGCTCGTTCCTGAGTGCTAAAGACTATCGTAACTCTTTATCTGACCCATTGACTGAGAAACAATACTTCCTGCTCCGAATGCGCGCGTGCTAATTCGCCTAATTACGTTGGCTTTATGTTTAATTCCAAGTCATTTCAGACTTCAGTCAAGGTTCCTTTCGCTTCTTCAAAGAAGGTTTATCATCGTAATAATTATAATCATTTAATATTTAGTCTAACTATGCATAATCATTTTTTCAATTGGTAATGCTTCTTATATCCCAACAGAGACATTTCCGGAAATCAGATTGGACCTAACCTGACAGCAGATATTTTTTATGGCTTTAACAATATGTCCTTTCTGTAAGTTTGCAAATGAAGGAAAATGTTGTGCGATGAAATACTAAGGAATTGTCTAAGTATAGAACTAAGGAATTGACCAAGTATATTTTTCTAATTTTTGTTGTCTTTATTAGATATCTGAACCAATGTGGACTTAAGTATATTGAAAACGGAACCTTTAGGGCGATGAGAAAATTGATGAAGCTGTAAGTTTGGATACTTTAATGCTCTTGCCAGCTTGATTTACAATTCAGAAAGGTTTATCAATGATTTATAGAAATAGATTTGCCTTATCTACTTTCTTTTACAGAGCTCTCAGCGGCAATAAATTGTCCCATGTTTCAGCTGGAATCCTGGAAGGACCATCGGAAAAGTCTTTTAGATTGTAAGAAACGAAATAATCCTTCAGCATCTACGAGGTCTTCGCTTTGAAACTTTTACGTATCATGGAATATTTTTAGTGAACTTACAAGAAAAACTGTTCCGACTTTTCGTATGGTAAACAAGTTGAGACAAGTTACGTTGTCGGTTCAAGAACGTTACGTATTCTGAATATAGTAGTAAGTTATCCCGCTTTTTTGTATTTGCCAGGTATTTAAGCGAAAACGAGTTGACGTCTGTGCCGGATTTAAGCGATCTTTTAAAGCTGAAAGAATTGTATGTGATGTGATATTCGTAAGTATTTGTAACATTTGGCCTTAGATGGTATCCAAGACCTCGGTTCAGTTCTTTTCAATACGGATCTCCCGGCTGGTAAATATGACAGACATATTTAACATATGACCCGTCCGGCCCGCTTTCACACGGCCTTGCTGCAAAACTTTGTTGAAAAAAGGTCGCATCTTTCGATGACTGTCGAGTGCTTGTTCAAACTCGAAAAAACAAAGGAAACGTTTTTAACGAAAAATCCTTTAGAC